GGTGGTGGTGGTGGTGGTGGTGGTGGTGGTGGTGGTGGTGGTGGTGGTGGTGGAGGCACCGCCACCGTGCAGACCACTGAGGGAGGGGGCGGGCACTGCTTTACGAGGGTGCCCTTGCCTGGGCAGCGCTGGACTCCGGAGCCATTGCTGTACCCACCGCTGGAGAGCTGCCAAGCGGGACAACAAACACGCATGTCACTAACACACTAATAACCAAGCGGGCAGCCCGCCCCGGGGTTTGGTGGGGATCCGGGCGGAAAAGTTCTGCTTGGGAAATGGAGTGTGTCCTGTCGTTCTACCGTGTGGCTGTGAATGTGCTGCATGCCGCACTTCCTGGTCCTGGTGGTGGTGGAGCTACGGTTGTTTTTGCGTCTTACTAACCTAATCGCCTAACTAACCTCCTTCTCGCCCCTGTCTCTCCTTTGCCTTTTGCCAGGATCAAGAGGACGACGAGGACGGCTTCAAACCGTCCTTCAACAAGACGGCGTACGGCGGCCCGCCGCCCGCCCAGCACCTGGTCGTCAACACGAGCTCGTCGGGCACGCCGCGCACCTCCGTGTACCGGGGCAACCCCCCGGAGTACGAGGACCGCGCCCGGGGCACGACTCAGCGCCCGACGCAGCGTAACGGTGAGCGTTTTGTTTTCCTTTTGCGCACTCGCCGCCCCTCTTTATCTAAATCCACAAGACAAATAGCGGCCATTCTCCGCAGGCAACGGCAACGGCAACGGCAACGGCCTGGACGCGGGCTGCTACTTCTCGCCGACGCCGCTGGCGACGCAGGACAACGGCGGCCTCGACGGCTGCGGCAACGGTGGCAGCGTCGGCGCCGGGGCGCCGACTGGCGGTGGCGGCGGCGGCGGCGGCGGCTCCCGGGGGCGGTCGCCGTCGCTGTCCATCGCCCCCGCCTGCGGCCCCAAGTGGTGTCGCTCCAAGCTCTTCGGCATCCTGGGCATCCTGCTCATGGTCGCGCTGGCCGTCATCGCCGCCCTCATCCTGCACGCCGAATGTGAGTCCTCTGGCTTCTCTTTCTCGCTCTTATTTCTGCGCTCTTTTCCGGTGGCGGCCTGGCGTCCTTCTCGCTTCCACCATAACATTTTGTTTGCACTTTTGGCCGCTTGCTCTCCACTCGCCGCGCACGGAGACAATGGAGGGAACTTCTTGCGTTATTTACGGGCCGAGCCCCAATTAACAAGTTTCGCCTGGTCCCGCCGTGCGCGGGCTGTGATGTACAGCGCGAGTGTTCCGCAGAGTGTTCGCGTCGCGACCGCTAAATGTCATCATCGTTTCTCTGCGCACACTCTCATACCTGCTGCGCACCCCCCTCTCTCCCCCCTCTCACTCCTCCTTTCCCAAACTGCAAATGCATCTTCCCCTCCTTCTCCCACCTGTTCGTCATGGACTTGCTGCATTTCTGCCCGCGGCTTAAGTGGTGCCAAGCTAGGCAGGAACAAATGACGTCATCCAATAACGCCAATAGTTATGGTAATAAAATCAATTCTACGCAAATGCCGCTGCTTCTCTCCGGCCCGGCTGTCCGCACTGATTTAGTATCCGGTATCTGAGATCCCTCCCCTCCGGCAAACTCTCCAGCCTCCTACGCCGCCCCCGCGTGACGCGTTCCTTTCTCTGCGAATGTGTAGGCGTGCCATGTTGTATCACCGTGTGTTGTTTCCTTTCGCTCTCCTCCACTGACCCTCACCTTCTCGACTGCCTCCGCGGCCGTGATATGACAGCGTGTGCCAAAGTTTTTACCCCTGTCGGACCACATGCGGCGTGAAGCCGTCTATAACCGCCCCGCCTCGCCCCGCCCC